TGTGAAGCACGTCAATTCTCTCCTGGGGAGCGTCTTCGTGAGCCTCTTATGGTTTCAGGATAGTTCAAATCCTATGATGTTCCGATTCAATGCTCACCGATGATCTGAGCCATGGGGCAAGTTTGTTTTCCTAAGAATCTTTTTGAACATTTCGAGAGCACATGTTTGAACATTTAAAGTGCATATGAACATATATGTACGAAAGGTCGCCTCCGAGGGGATAAATCACCATGTCGAACATTGCATTTTTGTTCCTGCCTCTCGCGTTCTCTTCTCTTCCCGCTGTCCTACCTTTCGTCTCTCCCTCCTCTCAAGTAAGGACATCCGACTCGGATGGTCCTGGACCTTGAAAACCTGGGGGGCGCATTTCCACGTGCAAACCTCCCACTGTCGCACAGTGCCTGACTCCTGACCAAGGCTTTTAAAATCGAGCTCCACAGCAAGAGTCCTGGCGGTACCCACCTGGAGGGTGGTGCCTGGCACGACGGTTTCCAATCAGACAACCATCCAGTAGAAGTTCACACTGGTGTGTTCCAACCATGTTTTGGCCACAACTCATTCAACTCATTTGGCAAATGTTTTGCCGTGGAAGGTCTCTTTGCATGGATCCCCGCAAACTGATAGAGGAAGACGTCCACGTTGACCATTTAGGGTCCACGTTGGTTTGGTTGGGGAATGCAGCTAGGATAGGTGTAGACGCGTGGAGGCTCTTGCAGGCTCCTGATTCCTTTTCGATATTTTATTCACGCGGAAAAGATACCACCTGTTGTATTTCTTAGTGGAAAACCACCTGTTTGTAGAGGACGGTCGTCATCCAAGGGGCCATGCCATCCACTTCCATGATTATTTCAGGGAATGCCGTTGCATTTGTGCTGTTTTAATATATACATGGTTTATATTCATGTAGATAGGTGACGCACCCACACACACAATGATTAATCAGTACTGAGTACTGGTGAAGTTGTTTTGGAGGAAGGACATCAATGTATCTAAACAAATCCCTATAAAGACATCTCTACCTGGTACTAGACTGGTTCCAGGGACTTATTTGAGACGAAAAATAATCCCAATGCATTAGAGATTGGGGTGTTCCAGGTAGCATCGGGAGTTTTTCCATTGAGGATTGAAGAGCAGTTGTTGCGTATGGGAACAGCGGACGGCCTGGCAGCGTGGTTGCGGGAGGAGTGCAAGCCGGCTTTCCACCATGAGGCCAGCATGACGGGGGATGAGGCATGGTGTGTCTTTCAAGACCATGCCTATCATCATGGCCTGATAGGCCATAGGGACTGCCTGGGGGTAAAAACACGCTCAGAAGATGTGAGAATCATGTCAGGCTCACGGCTTGAAGATCTTAACCTTCCCAGACGCTCCATGTATGCCATATATGCCTACATTGGAGTGGTTTTGGGGGTCAATGTGGGCATATATGGCATACATAGAGTGTCTGGGCTTTGTGAGCCTCAACATTTGGAAAGCCGGGTTCAGATCGACCGCCATGTTTGGCTGAACACCACTGTTAGTAACACGCCCCATGTGAACTAGCGCCTTGTAAACGCTACTGCGAGAACGCACCCAGTGTTGCCACACCTTCTGACCCAGTTCCACCCATTCAGTGGGATGTTTCAGCCGGCAGTGCTGGAGAGGGAGCTGAGGAAATCCCACCACATTTGCCACCACGTCACACTTGTACACCTTGTGGCCAACTGGAAACCTTATGCCAACCCATCCACCTTCCACTTCCAGTCCCACGCGAGGTATTCAGTGACCTGAAAAACCGGACCGTACTATCAAGCACTGCTGTACCCAACTGGGATAGTCGAACAGTCTTGTTCTTCAACCTTTGTTGGTTCCCCGGCTTCTTGCATCTTGCATCTAAGGTTTGCATCAAGATACAGTAGATCCAAGCAGAAATCCTGTACCCAACCAGAAAAAAAGCCATGGGGAATGCCACATCATTCCACTCCTTACACCACTGCACAACCGGTGTTCAAACCGTCCAGGTGGTGGTCGCCGCTTGTTTGAGCTCCTTCGACGGGCGACCCCATCCCGATGCCTATTGGACCAGCTGCTTCGACCCTTCGGACCTGCGCACGGAGACGCTCGGCGTGAGACGACGCGTCGTGAGACGCGACCGCGGTGGTGAGACGTTGACACATAGAAAGAGGGAGAGTTCAAGGCGAACAGATAGAAGAACTGACTCGAAAATCGTTGAACCAAGGGAGAATGAACATGTTATGTATGGTATGCCACACACACATATAGATATAATATGATATAATTCTTTGAACTTTGGACTTTTTGTCGTCAGCGAAACTAGAGTCAGTGAATTGGGCCACAACACGGGATCAAGGACCATCTCGTCCTCCTTTGCTCTTCGTATCACGCGCGCGCCTTCCTCGCGCGTTACGCGGCGCGTGATCGCGCACGTTCCTCAGGGTGCACCGACCGTTCCGTGCTCTGAGGAAGTGTCGGATGATCCTGGATGCCTTGGTGCAGCTCTCCACCTCCGAACACCTCTTGAGCGAGACGGACCGTCCGAGTCAAGTCGGTAGGCTTGTCCCAACGGGGTGAAAATAGGGGTGTTTATGTGTTTTTTTTGTGTTTTTTATTGTTTTTTGGGGGGTGACAGGTACAGAGTTGATTTGTTTGGCGTTCTTTATGGCGTGAGGTGAAAGTGTTCCCAGGTCGTGGGGTTCTTGGAGGGGTTTGGCCAAGGTGTGGGTGTGATGAGTGGGGGAGGAAGGAGCACTCCAAAGCCAGGACATCACATGGTTTCTGGTTTCGTGGAGTGGACACCACCTGTTTGGTCTTCATGGGCCATCCAAGGTTGACTGTGCAATCATGTGCCATCCACTTCCATGATGGATGGGGCAGTGAATGGGGCCTCTTTGGTTGAAAGAACAGCTCCGATGTTGAGCGCTTGGAGGACATTCAAATCGGTTTCTCCAGGGTCTTGGGCATCGTCACCAGCGAAGCTTGGCGGCCAAGCTTTGGAGTGTGTCTCTCATGAGGCAACGCCGTGGGCCAATTACCAAGCTATATAACGCATTTTATATTTTGTAAATCTTTATAATGGATTAATGGATCATTGTCATACATTGTATTATATAAATATAAACACGCACGTGTATTACATATATATATATATGTGTATATACACACACATACACACAAGTCTTAATCACAATCTAGAACCCATTTGATGTATGGGTTTCTTGATCAAGGCCGAGTGCCTTGGCTCCAAAAACAGGCTCCCTTAGGTTCTATGTATATCTAGTGTTGGTTAAGAGTTTGACTACCCCGGCTGCTGGTAGATACACCCTCGTTTCATTGCGTCCTAGGGCCCTACGCCCTTTGGAAGTTGGAAGATCTCCTCAGGTTCAGATGGAATCTCCCCTCTGCCAATGCGCATGGATTGGTTTGCTCGATGGGTTAACTTATGATCACTATGGTGACAAAATGATGCAGGAGCAGAGCAAGCTTTTAACTGGAATTCACTTTTTTGGAGGAAAGGGGGGGACGTCTTGCATATGTTTGGTCCCAATCCCATGAGCAATGGGTCGGTGCTTTTGTATATTGTGGCGGTTGCTGCCGGTATATTTTTGCAGTGGAGGTGGTTGGTTTTTTTGCTCAGGAGGGGTGGAAAAGAGTTTCTCTTTGCTGAGAAGTCTATGTCACATGAGTATATATTTAAATCCTGCCGGCCATAATGGACAAATTGGATTTCTGTGGGATTCCTTGGTTCCATATCCATTGATGGATCCACTATTCCTTGGGGTAGGTCTGCAATTTCTTGACATTATGAAATGCTCTTTGAGCTACCTACCATTTAGAAATTGCGGTTGTAAACAGGCCGTCTTACAGTGAAAAGCAACATCTCCAGAAGACAAATTTGGGCGTGGCAAATGGACTTTCCCAGTCTCCCAGTAGGTGTTCTGTGGATCTTCCTGGCGAAACAACTCTATGTATTAGTAAGCAACACCAGCTCTCCCAATCAAACGTTCGGTTAGAATGCTCTAGACCACCGAGCAAGGAGATGGAGGTGAAGGAGACACGCAGCGAGTTCCCACATCTGGTGGCCCTCCTTCGTGGAGCCGTGGAAAAGGACCATGAGAACGAGAGCGCCCACGGCATTGGACTTTTCTGGAAGATTAAAATCTCATTTGAATACTTAAAGGTAGTTAAGATGTGAGGTGAGTCAGCAGACTTGTTTGATGGGGACAGAGCTGCTTCTTAAAGGTAGTGATCCATTATCCAAGGGTATGCGTGTGTGTGTGTGACCCCTTTTTTTGGGGGGGACTGCGAGCACACAGGCACCAGTAACCCTTGTTCCAAGGACGTGTGCAACTGATATGGGTTGTAGAGGAGGATGGTCGAAACCACACATCAAGTCTCAGGGTCTATGGGATTGTGGGTGATGTGGGGGATCACCCAACAACTCCGGCCGGTCACCAGCGTCGTGTCAGCGTCGTGCCACGTGTTGATGGATCACAGTTCCATGTAGTGGATGGTTTCTAGACCTATCCAGTGAGTGGATGTTCGGGGCTGCCCATTATATACCATGAAGATCCATCAAGCAGCTAGACCTGGATCTTGGAGATCAATATGTCGACATCTCCCATGAGTATTGTTGGGTTCCCAGACGCGGCCCACAGGACTGGCCATATGTGGCCCACAGTCGGGGGGGTTCGCCCGAACGAACGACTTGGCGAGGGAAAAAACGTGGCGTCGTGGCGTACCTCCTTCGGTTCGGTACGACTGGAATCGATGGGTTTTATGGTTTTTACATGGTGGTCCCAGGTGCCTCGGACACGTTTTTGGAGGTGCGGACATGTTAGAACAAACGCACCCTAGACGGGACCGGTCGTCGTCACCGGTGGCGCGTGTGGCATCGGACGTGGTGGAGCGATCCCCCTCCCGCAGAGGTGGATGGAACGAGCTCTTGGTATTTGGGGGGGGTGAGGGAGACATATTGAAGACCATCATCCAGAATCAAGAGTATAATAGAGTATATGCTTTTGACCCGGCGTCATTCACTGAAAGAGGCACTCTGCTTGAGGCGTCAGGCGTCATGATTCTACGTGGTTGGATCCTTCCCTGATACAAGGTCGCATGTCCACTGCAGATGGAAGATGGGAACATCCGAAGCCCCAAGCTTCCAGTTCTTCCCCTTCAAAGCCATCACCCCAAACTCTTCAAGACTCAAGACCAACACCTCCGGCACCTCAGCACCTCCCCCTCTCCGGCACCTCGTCACCTCCCCCCTTCGAGTCACCGGCCGGCCGAAGCCCCAGGAGCTCCTGGCGGCACAGTTCCTGAAGCTCGCGCGGCGCTTGCACTACGGCGGCCCGTTGGGCATGCAGGCGCTCCGCTGCGCTCAGCGGCAGACGCCCTTGCACTCCAGGCGCAGATCCCAGAGCCGGACGAGGTAGAAGATGAGCAGGATGGGCACCGATGGGCACCGTAGAGCTAGAGAATTTCACAGAACTTTCTATGAAGTGGGTTCAGGCACCCTCAAACATTACAACCACCACGAAGAATTGGGGGACATTTCTGTATAAGGAAATTGGATCCGTCAACGATGATTTTTACATTTTGTTGCCGGATCATGCTTCGTGTTCTTCATTCCGTTCCGTCGTGCACCCGGTCGCCCCAGGCGTGTGTGGGGCACCGGCGATTTGCGGCAGATGCGTGCGGAGATGCACGACACCATCGAGGTCTGTTTGGTTCGCGCGCGCGCGCGAAGGTTTGGGGCGGTGAAGTCGGTGTGTGGATCGTGTGTTCATGGGCTCCAAGTACATCCGGAAAAGGTGTTGGGAGCCCTTCTGGCACCCGGGTCGCCCAAATAGATCATCATACATCATCATACATCCTCATCCACAATACCTTCTCAGGATCTACTTGGAGCCGGAAATTTCATGGGCGCCATTCGGTGGTTGCTCTTCACTCAAAAGCTGCGGTTGTGCCAGAGTGGTCGTTGGTGCTGGTACTGGTGGCTTCCAAGACCGAATTCAAGCCACCCATCCGAATCCAAATCCGACGAGCGACCGTTTATATTGGGGTTAGTAAACGGTTAGAGATTCAAAAGCATCGTCCTGGCAACATTGAAAGCTATCCCTCACACTCCATGCAATACTTTCAAAGTATACGTTTTTTAAAAGTATATATATGTGATATACCTCAAAAAAGGCCTAAACCAGATGCCCCCCCCAAAAAAAACATGTATCTCTAAGACTCTAAGGGGTGGAAAAAAGGAATTAAGGTATACCTCAAAACCCATCCAAACCCGGAGTGGACGTCCCCACGACGACAGTACGGAGTGCGCTCCAACGGCGGCGAGTCAGGAGTACTTCGACTCCCGGAGCACCGAGGAGCTGGCACAGGTGATTGAGGAGCTGCACCTCTCTTCCAAGGAACAGGTGCGCAATAGTATATATATAGTATATGTACATATTCATATACACATGTATTTTTACAGAACGGCAGCTCCTGGGAGTGCAGTTTTTTTCAGGTTCTTTTCATTCGCAATAGGATGCAATAGGCCTAGATTTTACTACATAAACTGCACTCCCACAGCCTGCCACTCTATTTTGACCATACATGTATAATCTCTCTATATATATATAGAGTCTATATCAATACACATATAGACACTTACATACATGGAGAGAAACTGTATGGCTGGCAGACCACGGGCAGAAAGAAGAAACTCCGTCCTTTTGGAGATCTTTGTTTGTGTTCGCTTGTGTGCGGGCGTGTTCTAAGGTTTGGTGAAATATGGCGTGTTTGTGCGTTTGTTTTGGTGGATTAGTGCCTTTGCATGACTGGCACAGGTTCTGACGATAATGGATATGGAAGAGACAGGGGGGGTGGTACCATATATCAATATATATATATACATAAAGCCTGTAGAAGGGTGCAGGAGGGGGGTGCCTTTTGATCCGTTATAAAGCGAAAGTTGGGGACGCGGGAGCTTGCAACACTTTCCCAGGACAATGTTTGCCAACCCTGTGGGGAACCAACGTCGGCTTTCACAGCCTTCAAGCCTCAGAACTCATAACTCGGCACTTCTTGGATGCCATGTTTCCCAACAAGTGTTCTTGGTCCACTGGGACCTGGTTGAGCAGGCAACCTTCTTGCGAAAGCTCTTGGTGGCCGGCATGGAGCGGCATTTGCAGCAGGCAGTTGTTGTCCTAGATTAGAGTAGACCAGTTTGGAGAACACATTGCAACGGAATTCCGCTTGGAATCACCACCTTTTTTGCTGCAGGCGTGTAGGCTCTAGACTGATGCCCCAAATTGGTAGACGCCGGAGTCTCAATTTAATGACATGAGGATGTAACGATGTGTGCCATTTTGTTTCACGGGGGAAGCTGAGCTGAGCTGTTGTTTTTGTTCGTGCCGTTCATGTTTTTCCCGGTCTAACTTTGTTGGTTTGTATAGCAGGTTCCATCGTCAGAAGGGAACAACTGGAGGAGTTCATTTGATTTGATCCATGGTTTGGTTGTGCTCACGTGCACCCTAGCAGACCAACCAGTGATTTCAAGCGATACAACTGACAACTGGCAAGGGAGTTGCTAACCAATGATAACAGTGCTCCAACATTTGGTAAAAGGAATTGTGCAATCCACAAAAACTATATGGAATTCACGTCTAATGCCCAGTCCCAATCCAAACAGTTGCATGATGTTGGATGGCAAAAACACGCATGTCATAGACTCTTTTGGCGCTAAAATCGGTCACCCGAATCGGGACTGACGCATGTCATAGACGCGATCCACCGGTTTCATCATTCACCGGTCCAGCAGGTGGCCCTTTATGCAGCAGAGGAGCTCTTGGGCTTCTGCTGGACTGACCAGGCGGGACTAGAGCGCATGGTGGGTTATATAATGTACTGTAAGCTTTCAATATCCACCTGGCATGATGAATCTAAATGGCTATCTAAATAATGTTCAAGTGAGTTGAACCCACCAATAAGATATATATGAAGCAGTTGAGCCCATGGGACAGCTGCGAACTCCTTCAACAGGAGGTGGAAGCTGCCTTCCAGCAACTCCGTGACATTGAAGCTGATCTGGCGACGTGGCGGAACGTGCCGGCTGTTTTTCAGTCACATCCGTCATGGTCGATGGGTATCACCATCTCCCAAGTCTCCGAGAGGGTCAGCAAAGGATTCAAAAGGTCATGCATGGCAGAACCGCATCATTTTGTGGCACAATAATAGACACACACTCTGACACTTGTATTCAGTGACTCAGTTACCACGTTGGGAAGGAAGGTGATGGAACAGCAAGGCGAACAGGTCCAAAGACTTGAATGGTTGAAAAAATGTTTCACTCGCGCGGCTGGCTGCAATGCACAGGCGGCTGAAAGCTGCAGTGGGAAACCTGTTTAGGGGAAGGAGCACATGAAAAACCATGAATCAAACCAAAGGAGTGGACAGCGTGGGCAACAGTTGATTGCAGGTACGTCGGCAAGCGTCCTTGCCGATATCCTAGGATCATGTGAGGAGCTTCGTTGGATGGAGCCTCACATGTCCTCTCCATCCCCCTGCTTGTTGAAAAAGTTGGTGGAAAGGCGTGGAAAATGGCGGTGGAAACCCTTTGTCCAGGGGTGGACACACACAGGTCGCCGCGTTCGGCGCTTTTTCAAAAACCGGTGGCAGGCGTGATAGCTATGCCCCTTTTGGACATATAGATTCACGAGTTCGGCTGCAGCAGCGTCAGCGCTGGAGGGTGGAAATGTGTATTTTCGAATGGTGTGGAGTCGTGATTGGAGGCCTGATAGAGCCAAGCGCTGGCTCCCGGCGGTGGTGGAATCCCGGATTTTCCAGGGTTGAGAAGGTTGCATGTAGGTGATGGTGCGTTGTGAAAGGTCAATGTTGAAACCGAGGAGATGAAAATCCTCCACCGGTTCGAGTTCCACTGGGTCGCCAAAGAAGTTGTGGTGGATGAGGGTTTGGATAGCCGGGTGGTGAAGGAAATGTTCGTTGTGGACAATGAAGCGGTTGTCGACATAGCGATAGTAAGTAAAGTGGAGGGCTGTGTGTTGAAGGAGGTTGTTGTGGATTTGATGCCAGGAGTGCTCAATGAGGGTGATGGCAACGTTGCATAGGGCTGGAGAGAGCTGGGATCCAATCCCGGCCCCTCGGATTTGTTTGTAAGTATTGTTGCAAGCCCGGAAAATGCATGTGTTGAGGGCAAAAGCCACAATGGTGGTAATGTCGGAAGTCTGGATGGTGCGTTGGGTGGGGTGTTTCTGATGGTGTCTGCCAATGTGGGAGTGGTGGAAAGGATTGCCGGTGGCCTGGACATCCACCGTTAAGGTGTGTGTGGATTGCTGTTGTTGCCAGTGGTGGACGAGGGAGTGAACTGCGTCGATGAGTCGGTGCTGGGGAACGGAGTTGAAAAAGCCGACCAAATCATCGTTGGTGGCGTGTAGTGAGATGTCTGGTGGGGCTTGGGTGAGGTAACTGTGAAAGTGGTGCCAAAGCTGGGGAATGGACATTTGGCCTGGATGTTGAGGGTAGAGGTGTTGGAGGATGATGTCAAGGGCACGGCTGGTGATGCGTAGTAGGTTGCCACTGAGTGATTGGAAGTATGAAATGATTGTTCGGCCTTTTTGCCAGTGCTTCTTCTCCTTGAGGTGGACAACACCGTAGGGAATGTTGAAGTGTTTTCGGAAGCCCCACTTGTAGCGAGTGCGCAGGATGGGGGGGACAGTGGCGGCCAGGTGGTCGTGGATGTTGGCGGCAGTGATGTAGGGAAGTGGTTCGAAAAGTTCGGGGGATTGCCAGGTGTTCAAGGCGCCAGTGAAATATTGGCGAGGGCAAAACAGTCGAAGTTGTTGGAGCTCATGGTCGGCATGGTGGAGTAGTGTGTGTTTGCCCAAATGTTCTTGGAGTTGGCGAAGCAGGCGAGCCGTAAACCGGGGTTGTTGCTTGAGGTGTGTGTTGTGAAGGCGCCATTGGTGCTCCAGGAATGGTTGTAAATGCTGAACGAGGGATGGTGGAAGCCCTTGTATTTTGAGCCATTTTGTGTATGTAGGCCGTCTTGAAGATGAGGAAGTATCGAGCCTTGCTTGGGTAATAGGTGCTGTTCATATTGGCGTTGAGAAAAATGCCGAGGTGTGTAGGGAGTTGGAGTTGGTCCAGTGTAAGGATGTAGTGGCCGTTGATGGTGGGGGTATCCGGATCCTGCAAGAGGGTGCGAAGGTGATCGCATGCACAAGGGAGGTCTGCTGGATCCGGCGGGGAGTGGAGGGTGTCCTCCCATGTGCGGTGGTTATGTAGGTGGGAGCGGAGGGTTTTGTGGGCGGCTTCTCTCAGTCTGTGTGAGGGGAGGTGGAGGGGAATCGTAAACTGCTTGTGCTGCTGGATGGTAGTACGAAGCCACTGCTGGCAGTGCTTAGTGAAGTCGTCGTGGGCCAAGAAGGGCACTGTCAATGGGATGTTTTGTTTTGGCGGCGTGAGATTGCGGTAGATCAGGGCTTTGTTGAGGATGTGGAGGGCTCGGCTGCGGCCAGGTTCTTCCAGGTTTGCGGCCATGCGCCGGATTGCATAGACTTCGAGGTCGGTGTGGCGGCCGCTTCGTAGCTCTTTGGCTGCTTCAAAGGAGGCTGCGGTGTGTTTGGTAAGGTTGCGAAGAAGTTGGAGGGCGTGATGTCTGGTGGAGGTGTAGAGGTGTGGTTCTCTGAGGGTGTATTGGCGTTGCCGAAGGCGTCTGAAAAGTCGTTTGTGGGTGGCTAATCTGGAGTAGAAGTGGGCTCTGTGTTTTGTGAACTGCCATCCCTGAGCTTTGAGCTTGAGGTGGTGGGAAATGAAAGGCCAGTTGAGTGGAGGCATCCAGTTT